CATTAGAAAAAATCGTTGATGGTGATTAACTTTTTCATAACTCTGTGGAAGCGCATAGTTGTGAGAAGTTGAAAAGGTGGTTGAAGTGTCTTAGACGTTTGATACAAACTAAAAAAGTGAACTGATTGAGAGGTTAGGTGTATCAATACTTCTTAACTGTGTACAAAATTAATGAAAACAAATAATAATTATAACTCTACTCTAATTAATTATGCCAACCAACTATTAGTACTTGCAAAAACACTTTAATTAACATGAAAGGTAATCACGAGTATAATTAATAAAATATATTAGGTATTTAATATTTTGACATTTTTAATCATACTACTGTGTATACCGAAGTAGAATTTAATATTAAAAAAATATTGTTTAATACCAGATAATAATTTTGTTCTGTTGGACCACTTTCTCCATGAAAATGTAATTAACAAATATAAGTATATTCAGTAACATCATCAATCCATCGAAAACCGTTGTCACTTCGGTCTTCGACCACATTTTTTCGCACCAAATGCACATTTGCTTGATAAATTGATAATTTTTTTACGATATTGCTTTGGAATATTTATAAAATAATATGTATTGTATGTATTGCCTTTGAATGATTTATACCGTGTGTCAATTTTACATACTCCATAACAACACCGTTTCGTTGTTCCTTTCCGTACAGCTAACATAATTATTATAATTGATTGTAAACATATATTTTTCAATTAAGACACTAAAATTATTATTACTTTGCTTTTTCTTCCTATTTTGGTAAATGAATATACTTAAATTAATATTTATCGATTATAATTTTTTTCACGTGGGTATTTTAACATTCTTGTTTACAAAAACAGTACGAAAAAGGATGGCTGATACTGTGGCATGCGCACAAAAAAAAATTATGATGAAAAGGTCTATTAAACCGATTTTAGAGCGCCATTTTCAAAGAGCTCCCAGCTCTCTTAGGAAGCATTTTTGGATTAAGGTAATTTAGGTTTAATCGTCATAAAATCAGCTCTAAATTTCGTGGTTTCATTCTTTGAAGAGCGTTTCTGGACACCCTGTATAAAAAAGTAATTTATTTTTTATTTTTGAAAGAAATTTTAATAATTTGAACAGTCTTGTATATGTGAATCGAGCATTGAATTTTTTTTAGAAAAAAGGTTACATGTTTTTTCCATTTTAATCGACTTTGTTTTAAACTCTTTATACGTTTGAATGAAATGCGTGTTAGATTTTCTTTCAACAAGCGCCATTGCATATTTGGTCTATCAGTTACAAAACCTAGTCACATATTTACGACATTACGTACCTGATTAGAGATTATTTTATTATTAACAATGAATTAAACATTGCAGATAAAATTTTTATTGCTCTGGTGATAATTGTATTCCCAAATCTGGCAGTGTCTAGTATTTAAATATTTATGTGCATACATGTTGTTTCTTACATTATTTATATTTTGTACATCTAGGAATACTTTAAGTAATATTCCAAAAGACTCTTCTTTCTCTTGTGCTAAATTTATTTACACCTAGCTATAATAAACCTTGATAGTCCAGTCATTTAAGCTTAAATTAGGTAAGAATCTCGGAACTGGAGATACCCAGCTGTAAGTCTGTAAATACTTGTATATTGACACGCTAAAAGTTATTTCAAAACCTACATATGGTAGGGTGTACGCAACTATTAAATTTCAAGGTCAAATGTCACAAAAATCGGTTTTTTGCGCTTTTTTGTAAATATCTCATTTTTTATGGGTTTTTTGCTATTTGTATTTATTATCAATATTATAGAATACAAAATTTGTAGAGAAAAAATTCAGATTACAGTAAGAACGTAAAAGCTATGGAGCAGCAGAGAAGATGAAACAATAGTTGTACCAGTTACTCAAGAAAAATTCTTATCAAATCGAAATAACAAAGATATGCTCATTAATATGTTAATTGAAAAATTACATGCTGCAAATATTACTACTAAACAAGCCAGAGATAATGCTGATGTTCTTATTGTTGAAACTGCAATTGAAGAATCAAATTCTGAAAAAACTGCAGTTATAATAGGACAAGATATTGATTTACTTGTCATTTTAATTGGGCGTACACTGTCTTACGAACAAGACATTTTCTTTAAAAAAGTTGGGAAAGGAAATGTAAAAACGGGGATATACTTGACTAAAAGTTTTGATAATTATCCTCATTCCAAAACACATATTTTATTTCTGCATGCATTAAGTGGCTGTGACACAACTTCTGCGCTTTTTAAAAAGGGAAAAAATCATTTTTTAAAGTTTTTGAGAAACTGACAAATTTGAATGAACTAGCTGCAGCATTTGAGAAAGAAAATTGTTCGGCCCAGAGATTATTAGAGAGTGGAACTCAAATCTTATTGGCAGTCTATAATGCTCCGAAATCTGTGAAAAGTCTCGATCATCTTCGTTATATGCATTACGTCAAGTCTACAAAACTTAATTAACCTGTGCAGCTTTCAAATATTCCACCAACAAAAGCAGCTGCTCATCAACCTTTCAAACGTGTATATTATTAAGTTCAAACTTGGTTAAGGCATGATTTGGAACCCCAGGTATGGAGTTGAGCAATGCGAAACGATTTTCTGGAGCCTATCATGACAATTTTACCACCTGCTCCAGAAGATTTGCTAAATACAATTTTCTGCAACTGCAAGAGTGGTTGTGGTTCGCGATGCTGATGCAGGAAAGCGGGCTTGCAATGCTCTTTAGCTTGTGGCCAATGTAATGGGCAAGCTTGTTTCAATGCTCTACCATATCAGAGCGACATTAACGAAGATGGAACCTTTGACCCCGAAATCATGGAAGAACATGAGAGAAATGTCGTTGAAGACGATAATGAAGACCAGTTTGAAATTTACCAGCAGCCGGAAGACGACGATGAAGAGGAAGAAGATTATTAAAATTATAAATTGTAGTTTTTGTACCTTTTATTCCATTTTTTTACTTTTAATAAAAATAAATGTATTGAATGAAATTTTTTAATAAAAAGATTAATTCATAATTTATTTGTTTTTTTTTTTTTCATCATGTAAGAATTTATTAATATTAATTAGGTTAAAATTCAAATATAATTCCTATATTTTCATTAACAATTTTGCAATTACATGGGCAGGTAAGTGTTGTTAAATAAATTAGTACTAAATAAAAAGTGGATAGGTTAGGAAAAAAAATGATAAAATATAATATAATAGTTAATAAAAATTGACAAATATTTATAATCATTGATTTATCGATATTTCATCAACTATATATGGCGCGTTTTCGACCGGAGGCACCGGTTGACCTGAAGTGATGCTGTGACCGCGCGCTTTCCGTCATCTATCTCGAAAACGGTTCACCGTATGAAAATTTTTTTTAAACAAAATTTTTAGAGAATTTTGTATTCTACAATATTGATAATAAATACAAATAGCAAAAAACCCATAGGAAATGAGATATTTACAAAAAAAGCGCAAAAAACCGATTTTTGTGATCTTTGACCTTGAAATTTAATAGATGCGTACACCCTACTATATGTAGGTTTTGAGACAACTTTTAGGGTGTCAATATACAAGTATTTACAGACTTACAGCTGGGTATCTCGAATTCCGAGGTGAACTTACTATAATGATTGGACTATGACTTGACAATCTTAGGCTAAATTAAAATTATGTACCTATTCTCTATTTTGGTATCTATTTTGTATTCTACCTACAGAAACAATTTAAAACCAATTGTTTCTGTATGCCTATTCAATATTTAATTGAGTTGTAATATTAATGAACAAGATAAACTTTCATGTGAAGTGAATACTAATAATCAATTAATGTTTTATTGTTATTCAAATTTAAAATCAATTTCAGAACTGTGTTTTTATATGCCTAAACCTTATCTATCAGAAATAATAACAAAGGAAGGTGATATTTACAATTTATCTTTTTAATATAATTTTACTAGCTAAATTAATTATCGTTTTTTTAGTAGATAAAAAGGAAGGAAAAATAATAATTTGAAAATAAAAACATAGTTTTGTTTCATACATTTATTTTTTGCGAAATTATTTTAACAGTTTGTGCCTGCTTACTAAAATGTGATTGTGCAAAAGATGCTGCCTTCTGTAATAAAGTTTACTGAGCATGTAACAATTTTATTCTCGGAGTTGATTCAAGACGGCGCAATATGAATAGGACGATTTCATAATCTGAAAGAAACATATTTATGAAATTTGTTTATTTTAATAGAATCAATAAAATATTTAATCTGGACGATATTTGACTTTCATAGTCAAGTGTGAGCCTATAAGTAATTTTCGTATTATCAAAAGAGCATATTTGTATTGACAGTCAAGTGCTCTATGAAAGATGCAGATCGTAATAAGTTTGGCTTCAGATTATGACAGTTTTATGCAATTAGGCATTCCAACGACCTGTCAAAATGCTGATAAGTGGGAACTGACAGTTTAGATATGGCAACCCTATGGATCTGTTGTCATTGACAGGGTCAATGATACATAGTGACGCATCCAGAGTTTAAGTTTGGGAAGGTAGTGAAAATATTCACTTTATTTCTGATATAATTTAAAAACAAAACAAAGAAAAAACATAATACAAGTAAATTTAAAAAGAACAACTTTTACATGTATAATAAATATTAAACAGATTTTAAAAAAATTAATAACACGGAAGCTTATAAATGAAAACATAACAAAAACAAACAAAAATATTTTCTTGGGCATAACATACTCGCATGACCAGAAAACATGAAATGAAGAAAATTATAACGTAAAATCAAGTCGTCTATTTTTTTATTTGCAAATCTATTTATAATATGGTCTACATTTACTTGAATGTCTCTGTGTATAAACAGAAGTGATAGCCCAACTAATCTATCCTGACCCATTATTGAACGAAGCCAGGTTTTAAGGCACCGCAGAGAGGAGAAGCTTATTTCAGCTGAAGCTACACTAACGGGTAGAGTGACCAAAACTTGTAGGCATTTTTTTTTATAAAGGAAATATATTTTTATCGCAAGACGAATATAAACCGATACCATCTGTATCGCTTCTTTTCACGCTTTTCCAAATACTGAATTCAGATTTTAATTTTAAAAGTATTAAATCTTTGTTTTGGTTATTTTCAAATTTGCTTATATATTCCGCAACTACTTCAATCGACTGACTAATTTCAGTATCCGTTTTTGAATTGAAAATGGAAGGAAAAAATATATTGAACTCGTAGGTATTCAAATATTCCTCATTAAAACGAAATTGGAGATCTTGCAATATATTATCTAACAAAAGAATATGGATGTTAAGTCTAAAATAAAATTCGTTATTTTCTGCAGATATATTGGGGCGATGCGTTTGTCTCTGAGTAACTCTTGGTTTGTTAATTTCCAAATTTAATTTTTTATGAATATCTGACACTAAAGTAAAAATGGTCCTAAAATAAGTTTCGGAATTTCGACGTCTTTCTTTTAAAATGGTGATAACATTTTGTGTAAGCGTAGTAACATAGTGTTTATCAATTGTTTTCTTTTGCAATATTTTACTTAAATTTGCAGTCAAAGCTAAAATATCGGACAGAGAGCATAAAGAAACTATAAAAATGGTGAAACCTATAGCATTTTTTAAACATTCTGCTTTTGGAGAGGCGTCCCGATCTTTCCAGTGGGAAATAATATCAAGAAGGTCTACAATGATTTGAATAGTACTTTGAAACTGAAGCACAGATTCGTGACGTTCAACCCATCTGGTCTCACAAAGACTTTTAAGCTGACTATGGCCATCTAACTTTTGCTTAAGAAGAAAATTTCTTTTTGCGGAAGCTTTAAAAAATGCATTTACCTCTTTTATAATGCCAACGGCATTTCTAATACCTTGAACGTTTGAGCTTTTTGAAATAGATAAATTTAATGAGTGGCTGGCACAAGGACTCTTAAGTGCATCAGTTAATTTTTTTTAATTCAGTAACGGCTCCTTTTTGTTCACCAAGCATTAAGTTGCAAGTATCAGTTCTAATTCCTATACACCTATCGGGATTTAAATTAATTTTTTTAATAAAATTAAATAAGATTTGAGCCAAAATTTTACCACTAACTGTTGGTTCCGTCCGAGATTTCGTCAAATATTACACTATAAATTTGACTTTTATTTACTCGTTGTAAAATAGTTTCTAAAATCTCCTCACCACAGAATTCAATTATTTCATTTTGCGTATAACACTAATATAGGTTGCACTAGATGAAGTGTTTTCTAAATGTTTTTTTAATTCAACATCGCCACTCTCTATTCTAAATTTAATTAATTCACGAAAGTTACCTTCATTATTTACAAGACTATTCTCATCTTCAGAAGAACCTTCGGAAACGACAAGAGATCCTCGATCTCTATGACCTCTAAAAGGAATATTTTCTCGTCCCAAAAAGATTACTGACTCGATAATGGGTTTTAATCTGTTTATTTTCTAAAATTTGCCTTTGTCTTTCTTGATCTAATGTATTTCTTACATATATCTCTGGGTTTTCATAAATTTTAATTAAATTAGGTCCCCTGTCACAGCTTTACTATGATAGACCGATTTATCATGCATTATCAAATCGCCATCTTTTCCGAATAGTTTGGAATACTTATTTAGTGGAGTGGTAACAAGACGTCCCAACTTAGTTGACTGATGTACACCACCCACTTTTGAAAAAATAACGCAAAATTTACAAAATATACCCTCTAGACCTTGCAAATATGTTAGCCAAAAAAAGTGTCAAAATGTCGTCTTGATAAAAAGCATTTAATATCTTTATCATTTTTTCTGTGAATTGAAAATGGGTACGTAAAATTTTGATCCGGAACCATAGAGTACATTAAAACCGACTATTTTTCCCGCAATGTAATTATTTTAGATGTATTGACAAAAGGGACAATGTCTATCGATTTTTTATAACCATGTAAAATATTAAATGTGGCAACGCTGTGGTCACCGCTTCTACCGGCGCTATAGTAGGGATGCGCGATACACTTAATAGTATCGATATCAGGTATCGATACGGATCGGAACGTAAAGTATCGATACAGTAAAATATCGAATGTTGATGTATCGATACTCGAAATATCGATACTTTAACGATCCGAGATTTTTAGTAGTTATTTCAGTTATTCCCACTTTATTAGGGCTTGACAGTTTGACAGGTAGTAATAAGGCCCGTATTTATAAACAAAACTCAGCTGAGTCGGACTTGGGTAAGTCGTCCTTGAACGAAAATCGAAGTTCGGTTATATCGCGTGAATTTAGAGATGAGTAGTAACAAATCCGTAAATGTACATAACAGTTACAGATTTGCTAATATCCATCTCTAAATTCCAGTTTAACACCAGAACCACCTAGAACTTTAGAGACGTTGTAACCGAACTTTGATTTTAGTTCAAGGACGACTTACCCAAGTCCGACTCAGCTGAGTTTTGTTTATAAATACGGGCCTAAATTGAAGACAGACAGATCATATTATTTTTTTTTTTTATTTAAAACATTTATTCACCAATTTAAAAATAATTATAAACCAATTATTTTAGATACTCCTAACTACATAAAAAAATAGTAGCTACTTATAACAGTTATAACACGAAAATATTTCAGGGATTCACTCAGCCCAGTTGACAGCTGACTGACAGAGGACATACAGAGGATAGAACGATACTGTGCTCATAAGAAATTAGAATACGATCGTTGTTGATATATTCATACAACGATACGATTTTATCAAGTACATGCATTTTTACAGAAACTGCAAACGCCACCAACCAAAATCCCGGATCGTAAAGGTATCGATACAGTAGAAATGTATCGATACTTGCAACATATCGTAAAGCAAAGTATCGATCCAAAATATCGAGTATCGGACGTAAAAGTATCGATACTCTGAAATATCGGATCGTATCGCGCATCCCTACGCTATAGTTAGTTTCGGCGGTTTGTTTACCCATACTCGAACTCGAACCCTATTCCTCAGAGGATTCCCCGACTGGTGATAAATTCCCGACTTCCGAGGTTATTATTCGCCTATTTTGTTTTGATTTTAACAAATAATTATCTAAGGTAATCTGTTTTCTCTTACTCATTGCTAATTTCTGTTGTGTTTAGTATCTGCAAGTGCAAGAACAAAAATAATTTGCAACAATGGTAAATTTTAGATATTATAATCACATAAACTTAAATCTAAATTACTAAACTTCATAAAAATACCTGTAAAGTAAAACCCTTACATGAACACAGTGTATCACTTTAGTATCACTATCACTTTGGTGATCCAGTATCCAGTACTTCCAGTAGAAATCAAAATAAAAACAAAATTATATAAGCAATTTTAGTCGAAGAAAGAGTGAGATTCTACAACGTAGAGTGGGAACCTAAGTTAGGCGCTTTGAGTGGCGGAGAGCCAACGAAAGTAAAAAAGCGCTTCTGCCAGATTGAACAAAAAATACTGCAATAATTGGTCTTTTAATAATTTGTGCAATGCATTTTTGGTATCTATAAAAAGTTAGGTTTAAACATTCTTGGGGGGGGGGGGGGGGGGGGGGGGGTGTAATTACCCCACTACCCCCCCATATATACGCTCCTGCATATATATTTGTATAGATTATTCAAAGCGGGTCGTTTGCAAGTAGCAATATTTTCATTAATCAGAATCGGTTTAGCCAAATGTGTTTACAAACCAATTTTCAGCCTTTGAAAATAGAAAAAAAGATAATTACCTATATTTTTACTTTAATGCATATTTATTTTGAAAAACATGGACGATCAATCTATATGACTATCTATTTGATTGATCCTGTCAAATCATCAGGCCTGCAGGGTTGCCATAACGTTGCTATAACGTTGCCATAATGTTGTCATAATATAACCTGTCAAAACCAACTAGTAGCTATTTTGCTTGGAATGCCTAATAATGCCTAAATACCGAACTTTATTAAGGCTAACGCCGGCCCTGTCACATATTCGTATCTAACAATTTAATTAATGGCCAAAGAGCACTCAAATTTCACTGAAGTCCGTATACAGTGTGGAAAAGCCAAATGGAATAAATTCATTATTTCGGTTACTGTACATATTTATAGAAAATCCCGAAACACATCAAATTTAAATTATAAATTGACATTCTTTAAAGTGAAAATTTGATCCCTACCTTTAACCCCCTTTGAGTGACAGTTACAACCTCCAATTTTTTAAATGGGAAGTATGGGCTTGTGATATATCGTTTGAAAGGTCTCTTTATTCTCTATCCAAAAATGTTATTGTTTTTAAATTTATTGCAAAAATTAACATAAAAAAAAATAAAATCATCTTATTACCGAAATTCTCTAGAGTACCTACACTACTATTTCCCGTTTCAGTCTTTATAATCATACAGTACCTAAGCAAAAACCATATCAGTGTTCTTTTTAAATATCAATTTAAAAAAATCCTTTAAAAAACTATCATAGCAATGTTAGTTTGTTTAAAACGCCTTAGCAAATTGGTTTGTAATAATTATAACTGCAGGATATTGTCAATATTATAATTGTCGTTCAGTGGCGGATCTAAGCAGGAGTGGGCCTCGGTGCAAGAAGTGCTTGTGGGCCCCTCTGGCTTCAAAACCAATATGTAAAAAAAAATCACGAATGGTTTGGATTATTTAATTTATTTATAAACTATTAATAACAAATATAAAATAAAAAATAAGTATAAACAAACAGATACTTTCTAAATAAAACAAAAAGAAAAACCTAATAAACTAGTAGTACCTATCTATGTATCTATTATCACAGATTATTAGCTAATCTGTGGTATATAGTATCACAGATTAATTGTACAAATCCGTGAATGTTATTTTTAATATTTTTATATTTATACTTTATAGCGCCCTTTTTCTAACTTTGGCATTTGCAAATCGATCTATTAAATTAGAGATGTCTAAGTTAGATGCCATTTTACTTACTATAGATAAAATTGATAAATCGCGCAATCGCTGCTGACTTATTGTAGATCGCATATAGTCTTTTATCATTTTAAGCTTACTAAAAGATCGTTCCACAGAAGCAACTGTTACAGGAAGGGTAAAAAATAAAAGAAAAACCGTATAAACCTCGCAAAAGTCTGCTTCCATAAACGAATAATTCTTAATAATAAATTCAAAGAGTTGTCTTATGGACATATCTTCTTTAAGGTCATGTTTCATTAAATCTAAAATCATGAGAAACTGATTTACAAAACAATGAGATAAAACTTTCGGATATTTTTCGCAAAATTCTTCACATCGGTGTAATATTTCTTCTGTTGAGCTTACAATTAAATAACGCGGTTCTAAAAATTCAAAAGTTTGTTTCACGGCGAGCATAGCAGAAAATCTTCTAGTAATCTGATTGCGAATAATGTCGATGACAAAGTAATAAACATTAATCTTAAAAAACTCCTCGCTGCTTTCGAAACGATGATCAGAAGAAAGTTCATCAAAGTGTTTTTTTACTTTTCTTTGCCTTTTTGCCTGAAATGTCGGTTCAATACTTAATTTGGTGGCCAGATCTATGGCTTCAGATTTTATATTGTCGTAAGATTTTGGGTCTCTAAAAGTAGCTATATGTTCACCTGCACGGTCTAAAACTGTCGTTACTTGATTCAAATCAATGTCAACTTTTTGTAAAGTTTTTGATGCTAAATTAATATGATTCAAAGTTCTAAACATAAAAATCGTAACAAAAATAAATTCAAAAGTACTCATTCTTTTTTTTAAAGAAGAAGCATCCGCAATTTCATCTTTTTTCGATGATTT